AGCATATTCCTAGTACATGTACACTGCACTGCTGCCGGTTACTACATTTGTAGTGTTAGTGTTACGCTTACCATGCCTCTCTCTCTCTCTCTCTCTCTCTCTCTCTCTCTCTCTCTCTCTCTCTCTCTCTCTCTCTCTCTCTCTCCTCTCTCTCTCTCTCTCTCTCTCTCTCTCTCTCTCTCTCTCTCTCTCTCTCTCTCTCTCTCCTCTCTCTCTCTCTCTCTCTCTCTCTCTCTCTCTCTCTCTCTCTCTCTCTCTCTCTCTCTCTCTCTCTCTCTCTCTCTCTCTCTCTCTCTCTCTCTCTCTCTCTCTCTCTCTCTCTCTCCTCTCTCTCTCTCTCTCTCTCTCTCTCTCTCTCTCTCTCTCTCTCTCTCTCTCTCTCTCTCTCTCTCTCTCTCCCTCTCTCTCTCTCTCTCTCTCTCTCTCTCTCTCTCTGTACACTTGTGGTGCTGGTGCTGGCAGCTTCCACTTAGTTACAATACTAGTACTAGGGAGCCACCCCGGGCAGCCCCCAGTGCTGTTTGGCTTTGTCTCACTGCTCTACTAGGCAAGCATGTCAGTACTGGTTGTGGTGCTGCTTACTGGACGGAATGAGCCTGGTCCTGATGTTATGTTGATCTAGTATCTGTAGGACTAGGGAGTAGGAGGCGGGCTGGTGTGATGAGGGTGGATCAGGTTTTGATGGCCGTGTGGAGTTTTCAAGGACCTTGCGTGATTGTGGGCGGTAGTGCTGCCGCCACTGGCAGTATTGTCTGCAATGCTAGATCGGCTGAGATGTGGGACACTTGTATTGGCACCCAATTGGACCATTACTGGCATTGGCTGCTTTGCATAATGAACGATTACGATTTCTTCAGCAAGGGGTGCTATTCAGAGTGTTTCCTGCTGGTGGGTTGGAACATAGCATCTTCTGCCACTTGCTGCCAGCAATAAGACTGCGTTCGACTGATTGGCGGTGTTTGATTGTTTTCCACAAGTCCCTGCCAGTATGCCACTGCCTGATCACTTCAAGCCGTGCAGCAGTGCTCACGAGTTGCATCCATCCAATGTGGCAGTGATAACTTGATAGTAGCCGACTGCAGTGGCTAGGCTAGGCAGTGGGCCTACTCACCCAGTCCCACTGACCCACTGGTATTATCAGTTTGGTGAACATAATTCACGGTTCACGTGAGACTCTGGCTGGAGGCGAGTTTTCCGCATCCGTAGGAACGCCACTCCCTCTGTGGATCTTTGGTGAAGAGCCTGGGTAATCCATGAAGCAGACGGTTGTTAGTGAGGTCAAGAGACAGGCAGCCATAGTGTAGGCTATCTTGAGCAATTTTGCCCCAGTTTGTCTGCAGTGATTGACTGTAGCTGGGCAATTATCAATTATAGCTGTTGGCACCGTCACTGTAATTAGGACCATGAGTGCAGCAGAAAAAGAAAAGAGCTTGCACTCACTGTGTAGCATGTGTTCCGTGGCAGCTAAAGTAGCTGGTTTCATAATTAGACCTTGCCAGCAAGAACACCAATCTAAAGTGCTAGCCAATGAGAATAATAAATATTATAGTTGCGACATCAGTAGCATGCACTTGGGGCCTGGTCACCTGCCACTGCCTAGGCCTCCATTGCTGTGTGCAGCTGGTATCACCAAGTAACATTAGTATAATTATTCTGCTGTGCGTGTGTGTGTGTGTGCGGGCGCGCCCGTGCGTGCGTGCTTGCGTGGCAGTTGGTGTGTATCAGCCTGTCATGTGCTCAGCCAATCATGCACCAATCATGCACTATCTAAAGATAGGGTTCTGCTCAAGAGGCTCAGGGCAGTTCTCAAGTGGATGCTGCCACCCCATGTGGGGGGGGGGGGGGGGGGGGGATCCATGACTGTTCCACGTACATGTATGTATGTAGTGTCTTTGCTGGAACTAGTCAATCGCTTCCTCCCATCTAGTAATAATTATTATAATAGTATGCCTTCTTGCTTCTTATACCAGTACCACGGTAACTGTTGATGCTCAGTCTCTGTATACAAAGCCACTGTTACGTGGGTCACATAATTATACTAGGCAAACCTCTACTCTACCTTCCGGGCAGCTTGCTCCCCCCCCCCCCCCCCCCCTCAGTGGCATTGCTAGAATATAGTACTTCAGAAGCACTTGTACTTGTAGCACAATGCATAACTAATTACTCGGACAGCAAGTTATTGACAGTCACTGCACATAAACACAGGCAAAGCTGGAGTATGCAGGGCCGTAGCACTGGGATTTCAGGTGGTCCTGCCAAATGGGGTACTTAACCAGAAATGACACATAGTATTAACAAAACCATTTTTCCACGAATTGGAGCGGTCAATCTTTTTCGAAATAAGGTCTAGCCATGGCCATGGCCGGTCATGACCGGACCGGGTGCTACCACCTTGAGTACACATCTAGTAGTAAAAAATCTACTCAGTGAGTGTACATGTAGCGATAAACTATTACTCGGTGGAGAGGAAGGGTGCTGGGTAGAGAGAGAGAGGTGCTTGGTTATGCGAGGTGCAGATACACGTAACATGTATTGCTTAGTGTACGTGTAGATATGTGATGTGCAGACTGAGCTAGAACAGCTACTGTCTTCAGATCGTGATCTCGGATACACGCTACAGTACATTATTAAAAAAGAAAACAGTACAATCATAGCCATTGTGGCCAAGTCATGTTACGGTCAAAGGCAGAATTCACAAGGGAATATCAGCCATGCCTGGCTGGCTCTCCTGTCAATATCAGCCGTGCCTGGCTGGCTCTCCTGTCAATATCAGCCGTGCCTGGCTGGCTCTCCTGTCAATAACGTTATCAGCCGTGCCTGGCTGGCTCTCCTGTCAATATCCTTCAAGCTCAGTACTGTATGGTGATTTCCGTGATGAAGTGCCGTCGCGTGTTTTCGTGCAATGTCAAACTCTGTGGACCATGCCACTACACTATGCGCAAATCGTTGATGACGAGATGGCGTACTGTATTTCCCGTGTACTGCAGATGGCCTTGCGTGTGCTGCACTACATGTGCATCCTGTCCTGACACCTGTAGTCCGCACAGGGGGCTGCAGGATGTTCCTGTGTCACTAGACTCACTACTATCTGTTAGTAGTGCTGCTGTAGTCATGACTCATGTCGTTGGATGCTCTAGCTCTACATGTTGATTGCAGGGAACTTGATTTCCGCAGTGTGCCAGGCCTGTCTTGTCTAGCAGGATTGTCTGGCACTGAGCCCGTGTACTGTAACTGTTACTCCCTTCCTGTGTGCCCCGATGTGCCACTAGCGCTGCCATCTGTACACACAGTGTGCACTGCCTGCCTGCATGCCTGGTCGATCATGAGCAAGCATTTCTTTGCACCTGTGTGTGTGTGTGTGTGTGTGTGTGTGTGTGTGTGTGTGTGTGTGTGTGTGTGTGTGTGTGTGTGTGTGTGTGTGTGTTTGCAGTCTTCTACATAACTTGTACACAGTACAGTGTCTTTCTCCAGGCGTGTCAGTGTGTTTGTGCCTTGTCACGACCTCCTGATCGTGCCACATCCTGTTTTGTGTTGCAGTGGCCAGTATATCACTGCATGCGTGCTTGCTAGAAAGTAGAATGGTCGTCACACACGACCCATTCTAGACAACATAATGCTAACATTTGACATGTAACATTAATGGGGAAGTTAAGGCTAAAATCAAAATTTCACCAGTTGTAGTTTTCGGGGTGCTGAGTCGAATGGTCTTGGTCTGAGGAAGCTGAGACGCTCCCTTCCTACTTTAATCCCAATCGAACTCGCGCACTTCCACCGGAACTGGGTGACTGCGCCCTACTAGATGGGGATTTGTATGCAAAATGTCACTAAAAGCGCCATTTCGTTCTTATAAAAGCACGGATGACCGCGATTGGCCCATATGTTGTAGTCTTTTGGACGCTGAGTCGACTGGTTTTGGTCCGAAAAGGCTGCGATGCAGCGTTCCTCCTTTATTCCCAATCGAACATGGTTGAACAAGCGGTCACGTGCTCCTGGGTGCCCAAATCACCTGGTCACCACGCCAGCAGGCGACAACTTTCACACCAAGGTTTAACTCGAGTGACAGGAGTGCACCCAAAAAAGGTCAAACAGGCTAGTAAGTTGTACCCTGCAGGCACGGTGACCAGGTGACTGGTGTACGCAGGAGCACGTAACCGCTTGTTCAACCATGTTCGATTGGGAATAAAGGAGGAACGCTGCATCGCAGCCTTTTCGGACCAAAACCTGTCGACTCAGCGTCCAAAAGACTACAACATATGGGCCAATCGCGGTCATCCGTGCTTTTATAAGAACGAAATGGCGCTTTTAGTGAAATTTTGCATACAAATCCCCATCTCGTAGGGCGCAGTCACCCAGTTTCGGTGGAAGTGCGCGAGTTTGATTGGGATTCAAGTAGGAAGGGAGCGTCTCAGCTTCCTCGGACCACGACCATTCGACTCAACACCCCGAAGACTACAACTGGTGAATTTTTGATTTTTGCCTTAACTTCCCCATTCGACGTAGCAGGCTGGTACATCAAGAGCGCATGGCACATAGATGACACAGCAACGACATGGCTCGATTGCGACGTACGTTTCGTCCCCGCTGGGCTCATCAGGCAATCTTCTTCTTGGATGTCTTCATACGGAGCTTGACTCGGGAGAATGAAGTTGAAGACACCGCTGCAGCCGTACTTATGGTTGATAAATATGGTGGTAAAGACACACTTGGCAATATGGCGGTAAACACACGCCTGCCCACACACGCTCTCTAAGCTGCAAAGTTCTGGCACAGAGCTCTCCTTCTCACCACCACCATCATCAGTTCGCGCCTGGCGCCTAGTCGATGCATGGTTGGCGGTATCCGACATAGCAGGCTCGTACATCAAGTAGCGCATGGCACATAGAAGATGACACAGCAACAACATAGCTCGATTGCGACGTACGCCAGGCGCGAACTGATGGTGGTGGTGGTGAGAAGGAGAGCAAACCCGGCTTTCATCCGCGACTTTACGGTCACCCATATCTAGTGTGTAGGTCTGTGTTCTTGGCAATACAAGACTAGTAACTGTTGATATGGATGTAGATACCGAAAACAGATAATTACACTAGGCATGCAGCAGAATCGGTTTATCGAGAACAACCAACAAAAAAGCAGACTGCTGCCCGTGGCTCGTGGTCCGTATGTACAGTATGTGCGTTGGTAGTCCGGATTGGCGACGCAGTGACAATGGCACTGATGGTCAGATCAAGTTTGAAAAGAATGCATAGTATGCGTGGGGATGGCACATATAAATAAGGGACGAACCAAAGACAGGCTACCCTACCTTCTACCTAAATATGGTGGATGGAGATGTATCGGCCACTCGCACCCTAACTAAATCTAGACATGCATGTTTGATTCACACTAATCTCCAGTGTGTCCATTTCTATTATAAGGCTTTGGTAGCCGAGGCTAGAATTGCTGCAGCCCCAGCTGGACCAGGTGGTCGTTTCCCTGGTATTGGCGTAGGTCCGGCGTGCATGGGCGCGCGTTGTACAGATGCTGTTGCTGAGCGCGATGCACTCGACACCCGAGCCTGTAGAGTGCTTGGCGACCGGGCGGGAGCTGCGGTGGATCCGCGTGTGGGAGTGGAGCCCGATGTGGGCGTGCTCTGCTGGATACCGGGGAAGGACGTCAGCGCCACTCCACTTGCGGTTGTGTGAGCCGGGCGCGCTGCTAATGTTGCGGCCGCAGCAGCTTGGTTATTGCCAGTGCTACTGCTACGCTTGTGTTGATGATGTGCTTTTCCAGTGGCAATGTGTGCTACTCCTGGTTTGCCGTTGTTTTCTGTGTGGCCTCTTGGACTAGTACCGCTGCTAGCACCACCATCGCCATGGCCACCACCAACAATGGCGGTGGCCATGGCGGCGTTATCCTTGTGTTTCTTTTCATGATATCCTCTATTGGAAGTGACATTACTCTGCTTGCTGCCGTGTTTCTTTTCTGCTGAGGACGGTGGTGGTGGTACTGCTGCCGCTACATGTGCAGGTTCTTCTTCTTCCTCCTCCTCCTCCTCCTCCTCTTCTTCTTCATCTCCCTCGTCTTCATTCATGTCTTCTTCAGTCGCGCCATCATCATCATCGTCATCTTCTCCTTCATCTTCATCATCCTCTTCGTCCTCTTCATCGTCATCGTCATCCTCCTCATTGCCATCATCCTCTTCCATGCCTTCCTCATCATCGTGATACTCATAAGAGTCCGTCGGTGGTTCAGTTCGCCGTTTCTTCTCCAGCCTGCGCTTGTTGTTGAACCAGAAGCGCACGGTGTCGGCTGGCACCGATGGATCCAGGTTTTTCGCTATGCTGTCAATCTCCTCTCGCGATGGGTACGTGTTCTCCTCGAACAGATCTTCCAGCATGGCACGCTGTCCGATTGTGAACGTGACACGTTTCTTCCTAGGCTTGCAGTGCGTGTCTGGGTCGCTGTTGTCGTCTTCGAGTGGACGCTTTCTTCCTCCTGCACATTGCGCAGTGACAAGAGGACATGGGATTTGGTTAGCCAAAGTAGGTGCCTTACTCGGATATCCATAGGGGTAACATTGTTGGAGAATTCATACTCTCCCTCCCTCGTGGATAATTTATGGGCACCCCTTGATCCGGTTATGCCCCTATTTTCCAAAACACAAACCACCACAGCCACCGCCACGCAGTGTTGTTTCATAAACCGATGAAATGCAGTTGACTGCACTCGCTTCCTGATATCGTCTTCCTTACTTATCGAGCCTTGTGGGATACTGTAAATATACAAATTTTCGGCAGCTATTTAATTTCGGCTATATTCGGCACCGACCCAAAACGCCCAAATTAAAACGCCGATGAAAATTTTCACAGCATCTGTCGCACTATACCATGCCCTCTACCCCACGCCGAAAATAAATCGCCGCCGAAATGTCAAAAATCGTGAAGTGCTGAAATTTTGCAGGGCCGAAATTTTGTATATTTACAGTAGTGGGTAAACAGATTCACTGAACCATTGGTAACCGGGGAAACCGCATTTGAATTAATTGCACTCTGGAATGCCTAACTAACAGGCACTGTGGAAAAAAGGAAAACCATTTGAAGTGATTTTTAGGCAAGGTATTCGTTAGAATGAAATTGAAGACACCACTGCAGCTGTACTTATGGTTGATAAATATGGTGGTAAAGAGGACCTGCCTGCAATGCCGGATACCGCCAGCCATGCATCGACCAGGCGCCAGGCGCGAACTGATGGTGGTGGTGGTGAGAAGGAGAGCTCTGTGCCAGAACTTTGCAGCCTAGAGAGCGTGTGTGGGCAGGCGTGTGTTTACCGCCATATTGCCAGGTGTGTCTTTACCACCATATTTATCAACCATAAGGTATTCGTTGTTTACACATTTCTAAACGTCACTGCAGGATAAGAGAGGCTCTGACCAGGTAAGTTATTATTACTGCTCAGTCGTCTCTTGTTACCGGCACACATCTGTGCTTGCACTCCTGTACATCTACACTCACACAGTGTTCTACACATTCTCAGTTATAGCCAGAACGAAAGTGAAGGGGGGGGGGGGGGACCCAACATTTTGTAGTTTTACCGCCATTTTGCAGGGCCGGAGGCAGCTTCTGCAGAGTGGTGCGGCCGAAGGGCCATCTTTAAGAGGGGGTCTGGGGTCCTCCCCCAGATTTTTTGGAATTTAGACGGCAAATCCTGCACTCTGGGCGACTCCCTGTACAAAGTCATACATTGAAACTTTTTCTGCCCGGTTTTGGACGTTCCACGTGGACCGACTTTTTGGGAAGTTGGTACGGCCATGTACCGGCCGTACCAGTGGCGCCGGCCCTGTTTTGTGCCGCCATTTTATGCTGCGCTACTACATATTGTGTAAGTTATGATGCACATAAAAAGGTGACGTTCGCACTCTGAAGGGTGGCGCATTCATTTAGAAAGGGGGAGGTCAAAAAGTGAAGGAGGGTGCAGCGAGCCGCTATGTCGCTTTGGCGAGAACCCTGATTAACCCTGTCCGGATTATGCGTTTTTTGAAGGGTCAAAATCGAAATATTTATTTTTTGGAAATTTACCCAAAATGCTAAAAAAATCTTTTTAAAAATTCAAAATTTCACCCAAAATGCGAAAATTATGCTGCCGTTACCATGGCAACCAAAATGGCGTAAAACTTGAATCCTTTGTCGTTCCAACTCCAAGTGCACGTGGAGGAAGCGCGTGCAAAGGATGTGGTTGTTTTCGATAGTCGAAAGCAGGGAGTCGTCAAATACGACTCCCTGGGCCTGGTCGAAAGGAATCAATCATTTTGTTTGGTTGTATGGCTTCTTCCTCACACTCGAGGCTGCCGATGAGCATGTAAAATATGCTCAAAATGTTGAAAAATGCTGAAAAAACCCCAAAATGCGAAAAATATGCAAAACATAATCCGGACAGGCCTAACCCTGATTCTGTGCAGGTGAAGTGGGACTATGCCAGTGTGTAGAGCACTAGGAAACAGGAGATGTGACTGGAGATTATCACGGGCAACTCAGACTGTAGATGCCAGCACATGCACGGCCACTGCGTGCGTGCCTGCCGCGCAATGTCTGCCATTCGCCATTTACCGAGTTCACCTATTCATGATGGATGCAGGTGTGCGTGCGTGCGATTGAAGAGAGAGGATGTAGGACTAGCTAATCATTACCGTCAGAACAGTGCAGTTGCTCACAACAGGGTGCATTCTGAAGTAATGCTGTCATTGCCTCAAGTTGATCTATATTTAGTAGTCCAAGAAGAGTGATGGTCCCACACTCCCACTATCTGTACCCGTAGCAACTGCCGATACTAATGACAAATGGTATTTTGATCTTCAATTATTCCATATATGTGCACAGTTCAAGATGATGAACTAAACCAGGGTGTGTGTCTGCATTTCAGCACATACTTCTCAAAGTCGAAGACAAACTTTCCCCTGCAATGTGTACTACATGTAGTACAGATTGGTTCCCACCTCTATAATTATTATAGCAATAGATGATATGCCAAATAACGTGCAACTAGACTTGAGAGGGCATCACACACAAGTTGCATACACATTATACTACAATGTGTACACGGTAGACCCTGAGCTCTGCAGGAATACTAGTCACAGGTACCCGTACAACTTTGAACTTTGTATGCAACTACTCTGCAATGCCCTCCCAAGTCTAGTTGCACGTTATTTGGCATATCATCTATTAACATAACAACCTGTTTCACAATCTACATCATGATGTATCACGGGTCTCTTGGCTGCTGCACGTACATGCTAAGGAGACGGTGTTATGCTGAAGTAATTAGTTTGGCCGTGTCCCCGGCAGGCAGCAAAGCACAATGCTGACGCCATGTAGTCACTAGCCACGGTCATGTCACTTCGCACCTCACCTCCTCATTGTGCAGCGCGATACGCACACTATGCGTATGGCTCTGTTACAGAGAACTTCTCGTACGAAGGGTAAACCTCGGTGTTTGTGACTAGTGTGCAAGGAGTTGACTCGTACTAACTGAGAACGTGTTTATTCACGACGCCAATAGCTTGAAACCATGAAGTAAGAACCAAACCGTTACGGTTAGTGCCACTCACACACACAACACCAGTGTAACTTACATGTACCTACTCAATGATGGTAATGATTGTGATTGCCACTAGCATGTGTTACAGCTCAACAGTATGCCGTAGTACACGCATGCACGCACGCACGCACACACTACCATAGCCCCATGTCAATAGTCACTAAGAGCACGCAGCTACAAGATCAGCATGATTGCAATTGTAAAAATGACTCAACGGATTTCAGAGTCTTCCGAGAATGCACCCACTGAATTAATTCTAATCTTGTTCTTTTGTTCGGAAGGACGTCCCACTTGCTAATTGCTTTGACATGGAAATCAACACGTGACAGGAGTGACTATAGGCCCTGTTGCTCAGGACAGGCAGGCTGCCACCTATCAGGTAGCAGCACGTCCAGGTAGCAGCACGGAAGTGTAGAGGTGCTTATATAAGCCTGTAGCACGCTTCAATGTATCAGTGCATGATTGCTGCCTGGCAATATGGCTCAACCAGTGTGTATGTAGACTGTCCCGACATTGAAACTGGGCCAGTATGACCGTTAAGTATGGGAAGGGATTCACGGTAGAACTCAGTCACCATAGATAATGGCATGAGCCACTCCATGGCTACAGAAGCCAATCACTTCAAGCGCCCATCGTATAGAAGTGCCCGTCAAAAACAACTATACAGCCGGCCCCATCGATTTGTCACTTGCCAACTTGGCAAGGCTGGGGTTGGCTCGCTTCACTGGAGAAAACTACTTGCTGCTGGAGATAATGATGACGGAGATTGGAGTTTACAAGAGCAATTCTCCAGTGGAGCTTTTCAAGTGGGACCTGGTGTCAAAGAGGACAGCGACTCTTTACAACTGTCAAGTGTCAGGTGCTACAGTTACCAATTCTCCCAATGCATTATGAAATCACAGAAAGTTACTGCAGCACCGTGTATACCCAATGGATAGTTCAAGTACTGCGTAACATGTAATTTTAGGTGTAGTAAAATTTCGGTGTCAGGGACCTGCCAGGTTTCAGGTGTAATGTAGAATTAGGTGACCAGCGTTCCCTGCACCTACACTGCATACTCCAGTGCCCTTCAGGTGTAATCTAAATTTAGGTGCCTGGTTTCTCTACCGAAATTATAACCGAAATTTAAGTTACACCGAAAATAACATGTTCTACAGTAGATTAGGGGAGTGCAGGTTAGTCTTGCGTCTAAACTCTAGCAGAAACTCTGAAAACGATTTCACAATGCGCTTGACCACACCTGACCGGCGGCTGTGTTGGTTCCAAGGGGGATATTGCAGTAGCATGGCGGTAGTCTCTGCAAATGTCAACTGACACAGCATCCCGATTGCCGTGAACTCTTTGTTGCATCACTGTCTGACACATGCACTCAATATACAACACTGTACTTTCGTCCAGTAACCACTGGTAACTGTTATACATCGTTTACAGGTACAAGAACCTTAAGTCCCTGTGCTAGTAACACATTCCAACCTTGCTCACCCCAATCTAAGCGTTCAAGCCTCAACAGCGAACCCTCTTGTTGAGCAAAACGTGAAGGAGAAAAATGTACCATGTCGAGTGGTTGACCCGGACAGTTGCACAATTATTGTGTTCTAGGACTGCCAGCTGCATGTGCAGGTTCAAATAATAATAATAATAATAATAATAATATAATTGATTTACATGCACGAAAAGAAAGGATGCCCATAACGTGCGTTAGTGTGTATACAGGTTTCATCATGGTGCCATCCGAACCAGTGTGTGTGTGTGTGTGTGTGTGTGCACGCGTGCGCGCGCATTTGCGTGTTGCGCACGTGTGTGTGCCCAGGCAAGCTCTCACTAGGACCATTCCATCGCAACACGTTCCACACACCCCGTTGTGTGCGATTACACCACAAGTTAGCTGACATCTGGCCTGGCAG